CTGCTCTCCTTGGCTCCTGAGGTTCTGTAGACACAGGTCTCTGCGGGGAGGTGAGGATGGTGGGACGAGGCTGTATTCATTAATTCATCCATTGAACAAAAATAAGGGCTGGAGAGATGGAAACACTGACTGTGCTTCCAGAGGTCCTGAGTTCAATTCCCAGCAACCATATAGTGGATCACAACTATCGGCAATGGGATCTGAGGCCTTCTTCTGGTATGTCTGAAGAGAGCAATGACGTACTCATATACATTAAATAAATTAAATAAATAAATAAATAAATAAATAAATAAATCAACAAATACACCCACTTAACAAGCATTTAAGTTTCTGCTCCGTACATGGCATTGGGCTAAGTGTAGAGAACTTTATGGGGAAACAGTGTGCCTGCCATTTTAGCTGAACTTGGTCTTTCTGGTGACCATTGTTAGGAGGTCTCCTTCCTTCACCACTGCAAGCACGTGGTGTTTGAAGGGAGTCACTGGACTTCGAGGGGTCAAATCAGAGCCGTTTCAGTGAGGGGGCTGAGGAGGGCTTCCTGGAGGAAGTGGTACCAAAGCTGAGATGTGTAAGAGTTGATTTGGTTGTCATCGGAGTTGAAACCAGACCAGGGGCATTAAGGGACAGATGGACCTCGGCGGAGCAAGGTCACATGTAAGGGGCTCTGGAGTGGCCAGGGCTTGGATCTTAAGCTAGAGACAGCTTCGTGTCTGAGACAGAAGATTGTGAGATCTGGCTCTAGGAGCCCTAGGGAGTGGAGGGCTGATGCAAGGCTTGCCAGCAGCCCACAGAATCTCCTGGAAAGCTCGTGGAAGGAGGTGAGCTGGGGTTTGATGGTGGGGTGAGTCCTGTTTGGCAGAAGGTGTAGGAGTTTGAAGCTCTGTCTGTGAGCTGAGGAAGTGGGCGAGCAATACTTGCGGCAGGAGTGAAGAGTGGGTGAGTGCCTCCTTTTGAATGCGTCCACCCTCTCTTGCTCTCCACTTAATTCTAGTAGCTACTATTTATTCCACAGACGCCGGGGTCCAGCAAACACTGGCCCATTTCATTCAATTAATTCACTGGCTGGCTGACGTAGACTGGATTATCTCATCTTATAAAATGAGAATAAAAGGGGCTCGACGAGAGGCAAGGACAGACCTAAAATCCTTTTTGTCCAACTGGGATAGACTACTTAGTCTTTGCCGTGTGTGTGTGTGTGTGTGTGTGTGTGTGTGTGTGTGTGTGTGTGTACACATTCATGTACACATGCAAGATTTAGTGAGCCAGGGCACAACCACGTGCTATAGTTTGCTTTTCTGTTGCTCTGGTGAAACATTGGCCAAAAGCAAACGGGGAGAGGAAAGGGTTTGCTTGGCTTACAAGTTATGCAGTCTATCATGGAGGAAACCCAAGGTGGAAACCTGGAGGAAGCAGAGACCACGGAGGAATGCTGCTTACGGTTTGCCTCCCCTGGCCTGCCCAGGCCCACCTGCTTAGGGATGGTACTGCCCAGAGTGAGCCGAGCTGTACCCCACAGACATGCCCACAGGCCAATCTTATTGAGGCAACCTCTTTGGAGGTATGTGAGGCTGACGACCAAGAATGGCCATTGCGCCAGGGGCAGCATTCGCCCATTCTGCAGCTCGCCAACCTTTTAGCACGCTGGCTCTCCAAGTAACCTGCCCTCTTGAGGGGTTTCCCTGCTTCCTCGGGAAGCACATGGTTTAACAGCAAGTAGTTAGCACACCTGGACTGTAAATGTCATATGGTAAGAAAGAGCTGTGTGTAGGTCTACCTTCCTGCCCAACCCCACGGACATACAGCTTGAGGTCCAGCCTGTGAGGCCAGGAGCATGCTCATAAACACATCGGTGCAAGTTAGAAACTGTCTTTTCTACCACTGGTACCTACTGTCCCAAGCCTTGACTGGCATCCCGGCCACCATAGGGATTTCAATATTTTATTGGTATATTTCCAATCCCAAGAATGGAATTCACTCTGTAGACCAGGTTGGTCTTAAACTCACAGAGATTCACCAGCACTGTCCCCCACCCCCGGTACTGGGATTAAAGGTGTGCCTCACCAGTTTAGTGGGAATTTCACGAACAATCACTGTCCCCTGGTAGTTTATGAACTAATTAAATATATACAATATGTGAGTGCTGTAGACCCACACACATAAGAGTGTGTGTGTGTGTGTGTGTGTGTGTGTGTGCACGTGTGCGCACGCACGCGCACGGGTAGTCAGCCTTGCATGCGTGCCTTTGAGTCAACCAAGACATTGAGGAGGACGCTGCTATTATTGTAGTACTGCCTCAAATAAGGCAGACCTGGGTTAGACTGGAGCACGCCAGCTTTTTCTAAAATGAATCTGAAACAAAACCTAAGCTATATAAAAATGACCTCATATTTTTGACTTCTCTGTGGGTGGGCAGAAGCTAACACATAATAAAGTTTGCAAATCTCGGTGTGGAGCCAGATGGAGTGTTACATATGTCAAGTACACCACGCCACACATACAAACATGTGACTCACTTCAGCAGCCTACAGACTTCTGTGAGCTCTCAGAAGATATGCCTCCGTCACAGGGCAAGAGGCAGCGCCTGCGTCATAGTCTTCCGCTCTCGGCATTTAGAGAGGTGGGGACCTGGTGGGGACCTCTTTTGTGTGGTCTCTTTCTCAGTAGAGAAATAACCATGAGGCCTATGTTCATTGTCATGCACTGTAGATCACCCTTTCTCACACACAGAATCAACTCATTTGCTCGTTCTCCTGAAGGGCATTTGAGCTGTCTGTTAGAAGGGAAACTTCTAGAAGTACGCCCATGCAGACACCTTATGTCTTCTGATCTTTCTGACTGTTACCCACCAGATGGACTATATTGGACATCCGAGATGGGCCTAGCAGAGTTCTTTTTGCCTCAGGAGTCAGAGATTCAGGGTCAAGGGTAGAAGAATAAGTGTCCAGAATTCTAGGCAGGGCCCCTCTAAGGACGCTCAATCACACCCCAGGAGCTCAGAGCTGAAGACATCCCAGTGGCCTACACTCATGTCACAGAGACATCTCCAGTGCACCCACAGGAAAAATAAAGTGTTTTGTCTTTTTTAAATTCTGGAATGAACGTCTGACTGGCAGCAAGTGTCCCCAGTAGAATCTGGTTTTGCTCCCTCTTCCCTGTTCAAACAAAGCTGTGATGGTTTGTATATGCTTGGCCCAGGGAGTGGCACGGTTAGAATGTGTGGCCCTGTTGGAGTGGGTGTGTCACTGTGGGTGTGGGCTTTAAGACCCTCACTCTAGCTGCCTGGAAGTGAGTCTTCCACTAGCAGCCTTCAGATGAAGATGTAGAACTCTCAGCTCCTCCTGAACCACACCTGCCTGGATGCTGCTATGCTCTTGCCTTGACGATAATGGACTGAACCTCTGAACCTGTGAGCCAGCCCCAATTAAATGCTGTCCTTTATAATATCTTGCCTTGGTTATGGTGTCTGTTCACAGCAGTAAAACCCTAACTAAGACAAAAGCTCAGAGAGAGGCCAGCAGCAGTGAGTTCACAGGACTCAAGAGAAGTCCACTTCCCAATTTTTTTTCTTTTCTTTTCTTTTTTTTGGTTTTTTGAGACAGGGTTTCTCTGTAGCCCTGGCTGTCCTGGAACTCACTCTGTAGACCAGGCTGGCCTCGAACTCAGAAATCCTCCTGCCTCTGCCTCCCAAGTGCTGGGATTAAAGGTGTGCGCCACCACCGCCAGGCTCACTTCCCACTTCCCAATTTCAAGAGAGACCTGCCATAAATACTCTACTGATGCCACTGACGGACTCGCTACAGGGCATGAGTGAAGGATCAGAAAACAGCCAGGCAGTCTCGACTCTATGGACTCACCTCTGTCCCCATGACTGAGGAGACACTTGGGGATGACAAAATAATGACCAGAACAGTGGCTCAAGGTGCTTGCTTTGGGGTAGTCGACCCTGGGTTCCATCCCAGCTCTGTCCCTTCCTGAGCCTTGAGCCCAACCACTTCCTGGTCTGTTAAATGGTGACTGCGTAGACACCGTCTCCCCTCCTCCCTAGATCTCATGGCTCACCCACTAAATCACATTAACAAAGGGCAGAGGACGAACACAGATGTCCGTGCTCCTGCCATTAGCCCCCCTGCCTGGAACGAAGGCAAGAGGCACATGTGGCCTTTACCCCACTTTCCTGGGATTCCCTGTTTCAGTTGATATGGAGAGTGGTTGTGGGCCTGACTTTATCCCAGTCACCGTCAGACTCACTATTGTCTCTCTGAGAGCAGTTAGGAAAAGTCGACTGACAGACAGGAGTTCGGAGGAATACAGGTATACTCGAATGGAGGTGCCTTGTTGCTGACATTCAAGTGTGGAAGGAAGAGAGGTTCACCTTGGAGCTGGGGCTGAAGTATTGCTTGGTGTCAGAGGGCTGGGCACTCATAGACCTTATCCCCAACCCCTGGAGGCTAGACTGGAATCAGTGTGACTAGTGTGGAAAAGGTTACTGGTTCGGCTGTCCTCCGGTGATGGCTTCAGAGCAGCCCAGGACAGCTCACTGTGCACTCTGGATGGTATAGTGAGGCCACAGGCAGTGGGTGGTCCTCTCCTCAGGCTCCAGGCCTGTTCTCATTTCTTCCATCCTCTGGAAAGCCTAGGCCTACCTTGGGCTTCACCCCATGAGACTTCCTTCCCCTGGTGACTGTGCCTTTGAAAGCTGCTGAAGAATTTCCTGTTGCAGGCATTGTCAGGCTGGAGGGTGGCTTCCTCTCTACCCTAGGAGCTGTGGCCAGGTTGTTTGAGTCTGGGCCAAGCTTGGGGAAGCCCTGATTTGGGGCTAGGAGAGAAGACCACCGAGAAATCGGAGACACAGGGCTAACTAGGGTGAGCTGCTGCTGCTGTCCCAGACAACTGATGACAGATGTGTCACCCCAGTCCTGTCAGGATAGGAGCTAGAGTGTTACTATGGATCCTCTACACAGGACAGCCCAACAGGACTCAGGAACAGAGGACAGAGGCAATCCCTGGGAAAGAGCCTGTTTGTGAACCCAGCAGTGCAGCTTCTGATACTCCCCTATTGACATTTGGCTCCCTGGGGTGCTGTGTTCTAAACCAGCTGCTGATCTGGGTTCAGGGTTTATACATCCTCCTGCTGTTTCTCTTGGATCTCACCCTGCCTGACCCCAGGAGCTTTCTCCCCCAAGGCAAAAACTAACAGTGTGGATGTGGTCTTGCTTGGGTTCAGTCAGGTGACCTGCCAGAGAGGAGTGGACCCTTGCTGCTCAGCCTGGAGCCTCTTCGGATCTCTGCAAGGTGTCAAGGCTCTCTCCAGCCACCTCCTTACTCCTGTGAGGCCTGAAGGAATAGGAGAACAGGTTCTGTTGGGGATGCAGCCTCTAAGGCTACAGCCTCAGCCCTGACTGCTGAGAAACCTGGATACTGGGAGGTCGAGGGAGGTCGGAGGGACAGGGGCAGGGAATGAGGAAACCTGCCAAACTGTAAGACCCGCCATCTTCTCACGTGGGATATGGGGCTGAGAGAACCCCAGAGTCTTGGAGAGAGGGCTGTGGACAGTACGAGGCAGACGAAATGCTTATTTGCAGGTTGTTTGGCCCAGAATGTGCCGATTTTTCCTGTGCTGTCTAGAACCCAGCTCATTTCCCTGAGGTCCCCAGATTGGGGAGCAGTGACTTGGGGTTCTTCCCTCTCTCTTGTTGGGTGGAAACAGCTGGTCTGGAAGTGTCCCTGGGTCTAAGCAGAGCAGGGCACCCCTGCGCTGGGGAGGCTGGGAGGAGGGGTGGCGGCTGTGTGTTCTGGGGTGAGAGGCGCTCCTCAAAGGCGGGGCCAGGAAGGAAGGAAACCAATGAGAGGCCTCCTGAGTCTCTGCTTCCTGTGGTAGCAGGAGCTGACTTCCGGGCCTTTCGGCTCTACTAGTCCTTCCTTCTCCTACAAGCCCACGCTTTCCTCAGCCCACCCCTAGTCCACCTTTATACCCACCTTGAGATTTCTAGGACTCTGTGTCCCTCCCTCTCTCTTCCAGTCACACGGCCTGTCTGGACTAAGGGACCGCCACCTCCTGGTTCACGGATCTTGTGCAGTCCTGACCTGAGGCACCAGATGGTTTCAGATTGGTCCAGTGGCTATTGCCAGGGTGCTGGGTTGGGTGTGGGTGGGTGAGAGGGTCAGCCTTCACCCGTACCCTCATCTGTGGAGGTCCACACCAGCACCCTCCTTTAATGCTCAGTTCTGTGTTCTCTCTCTTGCTGCTGTGAACCTGTGAGGACATCATCATGAGGACTCTGCCTCTCTCCAGAAGGCAGCACCGAGGACCAAGCAACACAGTCAGCAGCAGAGGAAGCTGTGAGCTGGGGTTCGGGCCATGGGAGAGCTTACGGCTGGGAGCAGGAGGCCTAGCAAAGCCTGGGTATGCCCCCAGCAAGCAGGAATGGGCAGCCGAACCTGGGAAAGCTCTCTGCTGCTGGGATTCATGGGAATTGGCCTGATGTCAGCTCCCTGGGGAAAGAGGGCAGCCCATGTCTGGAGCCAGTTAATGAACACCCAGTGTCCAGAAACACCCAGAGTTCTGGCAGGCTCAGTAGCGTTTTGCACACACACACACACACACACACACTAGAACACTCGCACGGTGGCTTATAGCTGCTGGGCCCGCGCATACTTGTCCAGGCTGAAGCCATACTGGCTCCACACATTTCCAGGATGAGGAAAAACCGGCCAAATGCTTGATGTTTCTCAGCTTATGGTGAAGGGATAACCATGTGAACAAGCTGAAGATATCCTATTTTCAAACCCATTCAGAGCTAGGCCTGGTGGTGATGCCAGCCTGTAAGCTTACCGAGGAAGCTGAGGCAGGAGGATCAGCATGTCCAAGGCCTGCTATAGAGTGAGTTCAAGGATAAAATATTAGAAAAGAAAAAATTTGGGATTCAATTTGGTGTTAGAATGCTCATCAGGAATTTCGGTGGCCCTGGACAGCACCAGCGGGCCCAGCCCGCACCTACCTGCTGTCTGTGAGGCTATCTGGAGCCTTGGCTAACCTTCCACCAGACAGGGTCATCCTCCACCAGACAGGATCATACTGCAGCCTGTTCCCAGAGAGCAGCCAGTCGACTGTGCAAGTGCCGTTTCTGCTGATGACAAATTCCTTTTACCCCACAGTAGAACAAACAAAATCAAGCTTAGCTGTGGCTGGTGTTCTTCGTTCTGTGGTTACTGCACAGTACCCGGTCAGTCCCCAGCATGGCTATCTGCTACACAAAGCTGCTCAATCTTGTCCGAATTTGAACTCTCTCTTTTTCTCTCTTTGTAGTTTATACAGTTTCTCCCAATCCCCAGTTTACCTTTGACAAAACTGAGACCAAGCATGGCAGAATGACTTACCTAAGGTCAAAGAAACACATTTTGCCTTGAGTTCTGGAGTTTAAATTTTGGAGATAACATGGATTTATGTGGCTTAAAGCCCGAAATTAGGAAGAAAAGGAACAGAGTTTGGAGTCTCTGAGCCCAGTGTCATTCTAAATGTGCATTCTTTGACAAGTTAGCAAGCAAGCCTCTGAGATAGCACCTAAGACAGCAGTGATCAGACCTAAGGCTGAATGACATAATGGTGACACGGCCCAGAAGCTTGACACTTAGTAGATTCTCAACAAATACTCCATGGCTATTTAATACGTCAGTGAAGCAGTCACATGCTACTCTCCACATTTATTGATTGATTGATTGATTGTAGGGTATGTATGGCAGGTGCCATAGCATGTTGAGGTCAGAGGACAACTTGCAGGAGTCCACTCTCTCCTCTGATATGTGGGTTCTGGGGATCAAACTCAGGTCATTAAGCTTGTTAGCAAGCACTCTTACAGATGATCTAGTCCCACGGTGCCATTTACTGAGAGCCGCTGTGAGCCAGGCTTATGTTTGGATCCTGGGAGGAGACAATTGGATGCTTGGTTGGGTTGACTGTGTGATGACGATGCACTGGGCCCAGAGGAAATGCGTTGAATATGGTGTGTGTGTGTTTGTGTGTGTGTGTGTGTGTGTGTGTGTGTGTGTATCTGTGGAAGGAGAAATGGGGCCACTCGGAAGAATCCTAAGACTTGGAAAGTGAATAAAATAAAATGTGCCAGGAAATGGGAAGGGAAACAGGAGTCAAGCTGGGGCATCAGAGGACAAGAATGTGAGAGTGGAGAAAGTCGGCTGTGGCTGAGGGGCCTGAGGGAGTGAGGGAGACTGAGATGAGAGCTTCGCAATCAACAGGCTTTGGCCTGAGGGGAGGGAACATTTGAATACAGCTCTTCAGACTCCTACATTCTCAATAGAAAAGCAAATTTAGAAAATAATGAACTTTGCTTTCTTTTTCTTCTCAAAAGCAATTACTTTGCTGTTGGCCATTGTGGAAGGCCACTGCTCCTCACTAGCAGGGGCGACCGGTGGCTCAGAACTAGGCTTCACAGTGTAAGAGGATGAGAGTCAGGCAAACCTATGAGGTCAAGAACTCTCAACTTCCTGAGCAATTAACAAGTATTTTCGAAGTTGCTGCCCTGGGCCCTCCACCCTGAAGACAGTTGGAGTTCTCTAGCCAGAGAGTCACCCTGTCATTAGCCCTTAGCGTATTGTGAGTGATGACTCAGAGCTGTCCATGTTGGTGGTGGGTGAGGAAGAAGTTTCTAGAGGATCTCAGTGAAACTGATTTGACCGGTTTCCCTGGAACATTCCAGGTTTGGTCCCGGCACTCCTGGGATCTGACAAAGCAGGCATCTTTGTAGCCACTACTTTAAGCTTGTCCTGAAGATGAGATGCCAGTGGAGGACCTGGGCTGGAACACTGAGGGAGGGACGGGGGAGGAGGTGTGGGGAGGTAAGAAGTGATCTTCAGCAAAACCACAGTCCAGACCATGGGGGAGGCTTCTCAAGCCTGGGGTTGGGTTGGGTTTGTTCATACGGCATCCCCAGTGACCAGAAATGACAATGACAGGATGTTGATAGCTAGCACGAACTGCTTGGTTATGAGCTCTGGGCAAGACCCACAAAAGGGGCTTGATGTGTTAATCAAATGATAAATGGTTCCAGGAAGACACTATACAATGGACTACCTTTTTTTTTTTTTTTTTGAGATAAGATCACTCTATTAAGCAGCCTATTCAGACCAGGCTAGCCTTGAGCTCTGGGAGATACATCTGCCTCTGCCTCCTTTTTTTCTGTGATTAAAGGTGTGCAACTGCCACTCCACTCCCGATTCAGTGAGCTACTTTAATAAGGAAAGTCAGTGGAACAGGGTCACTTGTGAAATAAGCCAATGCCACCCATACACCCAGCAAAGATATTTTTTTGGAAAGAGTGCAGAGAAATGGAAATTCAGAAGAGATGGGCTAGGGGCAGGGAAGGATAGGAGTCACTTTGCAAAACCTCCCAGGAAAGTGACAGTGATGAGGTGAATAACCAGTGTGCAGGCTTTCCTGAGGTGAATAACCAGTGCACAGGCTTTCCTGAGGTGGATAACCAGTGCACAGGCTTTCCTGAGGTGGATAACCAGTGCACAGGCTTTCCTGAGGTGGATAACCAGTG